ATGACTGTGTGGGACTATGCCAATAAGGCACCTGTGGCCCACCAAGGGGATTGGACAGCCTGGTAATAATGAAAATAAGATGCATGGAAACTCTGTGGGGGTGGGACTACCCAAATAAGGCATCTGGAACCCTACAGGTGGAATTGGTGAGCTTTTAAGCCTGCAAGGTTTAAAAGGCAGCCCATCCAGTGTAGAGGGTGGGGGCATTTACTACCATGAAGAAAAAGAGATAAGAACGGAGTGTATCCTTTGAACTCAAGATCCCTTGTGCTGGGAACCTCCTAGACCCAGGAATCAGAGTTTTGAAAATAAAGAGTTGGAACACAGCAGACTGTGAGGGAGGACGAGAAGGAACGGTAGGGAAACAATGAGAGCTGAGAGGGCAGAACCGAGTCTGTGTGGTGGAAGCCCAGAGTGAGGGAGCTTCCTGGAGGAGTGGGGTGCTTCTGGACCCTGGGCTGAGCCAGGCTCCTGACCCACTGTGCTCAAGAAGCTCCGAGGAAAGCCGAGTGGCAGACAGTGATAAGTTATCGTGATTGAGAACTGAATTCTGAGTTGTTCCTGTTACTTCTGAGTTGATTCGGAGCCTGAGGTATAGCCTGTTACTTCCCTGAAAACTCCGTAACCGTGCATATGGTCGGTGAGTTCTGTGTGACCATATGTAAATAAACCAAAATAAAACCCAGCAGAGAAGTTGAGTGCAGTGGGAGGCAGAGCTGGTGTCAGAGTTGGGAAAACAAGATGGGATGGTAGTTACTCCACCTCATGGGGATGGCCTCGGGTGATTTATCCTGAGTCTCCTTGCCCCGTATGAAGTTGGCCTTGTGGGTAAAGTGTTGGGCTGCCAACTGCACGGTCAACAGTTTAACCCTTTCATAGTTCCAGGGGAGAAAGGTGAGGCTGTCTGCTCTGTGAAGACTTACAGTCTTGGAAACCATAGTTAGAAGGTCACTATGGGTCAGAATCAAGTGGATGGCAGTGGGTTTTGTTTTGTTCTGTTTCTTGTGAAGTTGGAGGAAGTCAGGCACCACTGCCCCATGTTTTACAAACCATGAACTCTTATTTACAAACCCAAAACAATGCTTATATCTCAAGAAAATGTTTGGAGGATTCATGAGGTCATGCATAGTCACACATGGCACATAGGAAGTATGCAAAACAGTATTTGCTTTTATTGTGTCTTATTTTTCACTGATCGTTTTCTGACCAGGAACATAAATCCTGTCAGAGCCATCTTCAAATGTTGAACATATTTGATAACTGCAACTAGGTTCATAGAGGTGGGAGTACCCCATAAGTAGTTACTAAATGAATGAGTCCTATGTTACATAAACAGTGATTAGTCATGCACTAAAATTACTGTCATCACAATTTTTTACCATGCTAATCATAAATGTTCCAGGAAACCAATTATGGTTTGTTTTATCTTTTAAACAGCAATTCAAGTTAAGTAAATATCTATCTATACATTAGTCATAGCTAAGGTGTCTTGAAAAGGCGTCTTGGTGGCACAGTGATTATGAGTTGGGCTGCCATCCATATAGTCAGCAGTTTGAACCACTCGCTGCTCCACAGGAGAAACACTGGCTTTCTACTCCCGCAAAGAGTGACAGTCTCAGAAAGCCACAGGGGCAGGTCTACCCTGTCTTAGGGGCTGGGGCTGCTATGCATTGGAATCAAGGCGAGGGCAGTTGGGTTTAAGTGAATAAAGATTTGAAACACACACGCACGCACGCACCCACACTCCACACAAAGCTTGGGACACATTCTTTAGTTATACAAATAAACACGGGGGAGAGGGGGTGGCTTATGGAGACCAGATGCAACACATCTAATCAGACTCATGTTTAACATTCAACATCCCACCTCCAGTTCTAAGAACAGCTCACCTTTATGAAAATAATGGGGGGAAGTGTATTTGGGAAACCATATAAAGATTTTTTTAAATAGTTTCATTAGGGGCTCATACAACTCTTATCACAATCCATACTTATGTCAATTGTGTAAAGCACATTTTTACACTCATTGCCCTCATCATTCTCAAAACATTTGCTCTCCACTTAAGCCCTGACATCAGCTCCAGATAAAGATCTTAGAATATTTTGCCCTATTTTCTTTCTGTTAATTCCAGGGAAAGTAAATGAAATAAAAATCTGTCTTGATCGTTGTCACAGCAACAATAGAGGACAAGTAGAGGGTCATGAGAGGAAGACGCTCACCAAGACGGTCTGACACAGTGGCTGCAACAATGGGCTCAAAACTAGGAACGATGATGAGGATGACACGGGACTGGGCAGTGCTTCCTTCTGTTGGACTTAGGGTCCCTATGCACGGGACAGCACCTAGGGACAGCACACACAATGTCGGCTACACCAGTGGTTCTCAACTTTCCTCATGCTGCAACCTTTTAACAGTTCCTCATGTGGTGGTAACCCCCCAACCGTAAAATTATTGTTGTTGCTACTTCATAACTAATTTTGCTACTGTTATGAATCGGGTGACCCCTGTGAAAGGGTCGTCCGACCCCCAAAGGGGTTGCAATCCACAGGTTGAGAACGCTGGGCTACACTGTCAATATGTTGCACACACTGCCTGTTGGTTGGATACAGTGTCTCTATATAAATAGTCAATTTGCACCTTGCGACAAGAGCAGTGACTTAATGAATGGTGGCCTGTAATTAAAATAAATTGAGTTAATTGAGAAATGGAAGAAGTTAACCAATTCTCTTCTATGACAAACCTCGTTCTTTGTTGGTTTGGCACGCCTATTTCCTTTCAGCTCCAATTATTTTCTGCGTAAATATTTATGTTTGTACTCGTTTGTTGAGAAAAACTTAGCCTATTAATGGACAATTCATGTATAAAACCATTAATAAAAAGAAAACACTTGTAAAAAATCTGTTTAGCCTGGGGGTTAATATAACTGCCGTATAGCAACTGTGAAACGTGATTGGCAACTTCAGATCAAATCACCCTACTTCTATAAAACCTGACAGTGGAAAATCAATTGGATTTTTTTCCCCTTTTAAATCATTTTATTGGGGGCTCGTACAACTCATCACAATCCATCCATCCATCCATTGTGTCAAGCACATTTGTACATTTGTTGCCACCATCGTTCTCAAAACATTTTTCTACATGAGTCTTGGTATCAACTCATTTCCCCCTCCCTCCCCCCACCCTCCCTCACGAACCCTTGATAATTAATAAATTATTACTTTGTCATGTCTTACACTGTCTGACATCTCCCTTCGCCCACTTTTCTGTTGTCCGTCCCCCAGGGAGGGGCTTATATATAGATCCTTGTGATCAGTTCCCCCTTTCTATCCCACCTTCCCCTTCCCCTCCCCCTCCTGGTTCTGAGGGGTTTACCTGTCCTGGATTCCCTGTGTTTCCAGTTCTTATCTGTACCAGTGTATATGCTCTGGTCTAGCCGGATTTGTAAGGTAGAATTGGGATCATGACAGTGGAGGGTGGGGGGGTAAGCATTAAAGAACTAAAGCAAAGTTCTTTGTTTCATGGTTGCTACACTGCACCTCGACTGGCTCATCTCCTCCCTTCAACCCTTCTGTAAGGGGATGTCCAGAGGGGCTTTGGTCTCCACTCCGCACTCTCCCTCATTCACAATAAAAATTTTCTCACTGGATAATCACAACAACGCACCCACTGCCAGCGGGTCAATTCCGACTCAGCCTGAACATGAGCACGTGTTTGCTTGTTTTCTCGTTGAGGGGAATCTAACTTTTTCTTCTTTAAAAAAAAAAAAAAAAGCTAGGAATGGATCCATATATTTAAACATCAAGATGGAATTGGGGTGGGGTGGGAAAGTAACTCTAAATTTGAGTACTGGCTCTTTGTAGCTTCTAAACCACTTAACCTGTTCTAAATAACAAAAAAAAATTTTTTTCTATTGACAAGCTCTAAAACAACACATTCCATTTTAACTCCCACCCCAAAACTGCAGCGCGATCAAGAAAGCTCGTTTCCCATGTCATGGTGCAGCTTCTGACCCAGGGAGCCTCTGAACAGAGGCAGAGTTGCCTTCTAAGGGTTTTCAAGGCTGTAAATCTTTATGGAAGCAGTTTGCTAATTTCTCCAGCAGCAAGAAGGCAGAATGTCAAATCTGTCACACACAGACCATAATTTACCCTTTGGGGGAACTTTAATTAGGGCTGGCGGAGAACAGGCTTGCCCCAAATGGCTGGGCACTCCCAGTTTTAAACCCCTACTCTTCTTTCTTTGGAGACACCAAACTGGGATTAAGCCCTTTGGTCCAGCTGGTTTTATGCAAAGGGCTGCAACAGGTTCCGAAGGAATTACTCCAGACTTGAGCAGTTTGCCTGCTGTGTGGGCTGTGTTGAGCAGGAAATCAGTCGTTGCCAACTAGATTTTGCAGAAACAACTAGAGATTGCAGAAGCGCACCCGCCACGTAGACGCCTAGGGGCTTTAGGATTTAGCAGGCATCTCTCTGTCAAGCAACATCTCTTTGTGCCCTGGGACTTCCATGCCCCAGAGGCTCACATCTCTCGGGGCTGAGGGGAGCTAGGCTACCATCTCCCCTGGTACCACCAGGGAGACCTCAAACAGCACTGGCCCTCTCCCCGCTTCGGGCTCGGCCCCAAGCGGATCCGGTCACTGTCCTGTGGCGCGGAGAGGCGGATTCCCCGGGGAAAGCTAAGCCTACCTGGGGAGGCAACTCTCTGCCCTCCTCGGATCCGCCTTCACCGCGATCCCCAAGCAATGAAGGAGTCCCTGCAACGTACTCGGCCAGCCACGCACCCAGGTAGCCCCTTCCCAGAGCCCAGGACCCGCAGCAAGCCCCGCCTTCCTCCACAGGCCCAGGCCTTCCTCCAGGGCCCATCCTCCCGGATTCCCGCCGTCTCCCCGAGACCCAGAAACCACACATCGGGCTGCACGCCAGAGCGCAGGGCCCTGCCCTGGGCCTGGGGACCGGAGGGTGACCGGCCAGCTCCGGAGGGCCCCCGGCTCCCACACTCACCATCCTCCCGCCGAATCCCTCCTCCTCCTCCTCCTCCTCCTCCTGCTGCTGCCTCCCGGTTACCAGGGGCAACTGCTACGGCGCCGCCCCCGACGTCCCTCGCACGCACAACGGAGCCGAAAGCGGCGGTACAGAGGCGGG